AGTAATAAAATGGGACTTACTTCTGAGGAGCCTTGCTTAGATGAGGAGCCGATCACCAAGAAGTTTTATGATAATTTCTGATGTTAACACAATATATTTTAAGGAATGCTGATGACATACTGTAGTAAGTTACACAAAGCACAGTGGAAAATTGAAACGATACATAAATACTAAAGCTGAAAATAATTTCTTGTAAACATGTCCATAGCCTTCCAAATGGAGGTCACATTCATCATCACCGCCTCCTTCCCCATGCACTTGTATTTTGTTTACAGGGATCCTTTAATAGAGGAAAAAATTAATTTCACAATGTAGCTGTGTTTAATAATATATGAGTTGCACAAGTATGGTCAAATATGTCATCCACTAGATCAGTGATGGTGAACCTTTTAGAGACCGAGTGCCCAAACTGCAACCCAAAACCCACTTATTTATCGCAAGGTGCCAACACGGCAATTTAACCTGAATACTGAGGTTTTAGTTTAGAAAAAAACAACTCATACAGTAACATAAGATGGTCCAAACAAAGTAAGGAAAGCAATCCCAAATGCTTTCATTTACTTAAAATTATTTGGCAGAGAATTCCACACTTTAATGACGGTCTGGGCCTTGCTGGGGTGATGGCACGCGTGCCCACTGAGAGGGCTCTGAGTGCCACCTCTGGCACGCGTGCCATAGGTTCGCCACCACTGCACTAGATCATGCAGCAAAGAGGGAACAGGACTGCAACCTCAGCAGCAGCAGTCTTCAGCCCCTTGTGATGTTGTGGGAGGATTCATGGCGTATCCATTTGACAATTATACGCAGCCCGTGAGCTTCTGACACGACAGTGTAGGATAATAATGTTTCCAGTTTTGCATGAAAACAAACATACAATCAACAGATGTAATAACATGGAAGGCCATTCAAATAAGTCTGATTCCCATTTCTGCAAGAAGCTTGTGACATCTTTATTGGCCCTGACCATCATTACAATGGGACTTTTAGGGGATTCAACCTTTCTAAGTTCCTCAGTGCGAAGTCTTCACTGCAGTGTTGTTGACACATGCTTGATTGCCTTGAAAGTGGTCTTACTCTGTTTAGGCTGACGTTGACCTGCTGTCCCCAGCACATTGCCCATTCTTCTACTTGCGGTCATTTTGCAACAACTTGCCTGGAGGTAAGTGAAAAGACTGCTCTTTTGTCCAGCTTCCTTGATACACGTGTGGCTACAGCATAAGCCAAAAATTTTAACTTCTACAGTGAAGCAGCACTGCTGTCTCTGTATTCCTGTCAATTCCCATAAAATTCATGGTAGTTGTCCTGCTTTATATACTACCTCTAATTTCTCTTAGCATCTTTCTGGAGTAATGCATGCTAGCAAAAAAGCCCACTGGAGCTAGACCTTATGGACTTCTTACTACTGAAACATTTGAAAAATATGTCACGTCACAAAAATTGATAATTGTTACCAGCTTCAAATGCCAAGGCCAGCAGCCATTTCTAGCTACATCTCCACCATTCCAATCGCCCTACTGCCTTCACTGCCTCCTAACTGCATTTTGATTCATTAAAAACTACAGATCACAAAAATAGGAAAGTGAAATTTAGTAGCTGAAGATATGAAGCTGATTGCTTTTGCTTGTAAGTCTACAGTGCATATGGGACTCCATGTTGATTGAGAAGGGGAACCTGAAAACAAACAACTCTGACTTTGGGCCCAAGACCACAAAAAAGAAAAAAGTTAGCAAAGGCTCTATTGATCTTAATCCCCACCCGCTTTTACTCCCATCCCACTTGGCTTCTAGTAACACATTGTGGCCAGACAAGGTAAGAACTCTTCCACAACCTTTTGTCTGATCCTAGCAGTGAGGAAATGAGCTTGCTCCCACAAGCAAAAAATCCAGAGCTCCATCTCGGCTTTGCTATGCCAATGGACTAAGGCATTTGACAAAGTCAGTCAGGGCTCACTCTTCTCTCTCCCCTTCCTCCTTACAGAACACCCACATGATTTGGCCTCACCTGCTGCGGGGCAGTCCCATTGGTGCAGTCAGACTCTTCCCAGCTCTAGGCTTGTGCTTCCTGGCACTGGGTCAAGAGCCAAAGCAGCAGGAGGCCAGGAAGTTGGCTATTGCCAGAACAAAAGCACTGGTGCTTATTTTTCTCCCCCAGTGTTCCTGTCTCTTACAGGAGTACAAAGAATTACTCCAATAGGAAAGCAGCTGGGTCTTTCCTTGGGTGGGTCTCTCAAAGAATAAAGCAATAACACACTGGGCCAGTCCTGCCAACATGAAGTTTGTGCCTGAGATGTCCAATGACTTTGGGTACATCCCAGCAACAAGTAATCAGTCTGCTCTAGGCTCAACCAGCAAAAAGGCTCAGCGACAGCCATGGGTATGCGCACTGTGGCTGTTCACTGACTGAAGGTGCTACTCCAGGACAGCCGCTCCTGACACCTGTTTTCTTACATTTTAATATGCACATAAAGAAGCAACAACCTGTGTAATAGTAGAAAGGTCTTTGCAAACCATGAGACTGGTGAAATGCAGAGTTGCAGAGGTTTTGACACATACATATAGATCTCATACTTCTGCATGATCTTCCTGGCAGCTTTCTTTCACCTGTGTTCAAAACACATGCAGGAAAATGGAAGCGGCCCACTGGGAGTGACCTTGGCTAGCGAAGCAAAGAGACAGCTCTGGCAATGGGTACCGCATTATTTGGGACTGCACAGCATGCCTTTGCTATCCTTTCAGCATAAGAAGAACACAGCCCAGTCTCCCCCAAACCATCTCTTTCAGCACATAAACACACAAGAAAATGAAGTCTTCCACGCACTGTACCTTCTCTGTGATTTTACACGTGACCATTATTTCCTTGTTGCTTGATGTGTAGATCCCAGAATACATTGTACTGAGAGGTGCTGGTACAAAAGAGCTAGAATTAGCCCATGACAACATAATTGCTTGGATCCTAAGTAGCACAAGTAGAGTCGTGCTAGAGCACGGGGCATCGTGGCACCCACCAACACCTTTCTTAGTGCTCATCAGGTGTCTTTAGAAAGTGATTGGAGCCACGTGGGGCTCTCATCCAGCAGGGCTTCTGATTGGCCACTGAAGATCCAACTGGCTATGCAGATGAAAATAATGTTGCTTCGGTGACAGCTGCCATCACCGTGTTTTATTCTCTCTCACTCCTCATTCCCAGTATGTTTTATCTTGGGCTTCCCATGTGTTTGGCTCTGCCTCCTGTGGCAGCCATTTTGGGTCACAATTTTAAAGCCATGGGCTCAAAAAGGTTAGGGACTCCTGTTCTAGAGGAAGATGATTTCCCCACCTCCTCCTTACTCCAGACCATCTGTGCTGCCTGAAATTGAGCATCTAAGGACAGTGCGGTGAGAGAACTGGAAGGTAAGACTGAAGGAGGAGAAAAGCCTGGCAGAAATCTTCCCTCCTTTCTTCACTGACTGAAAAGCCACTCTGCTGGAGAAGCTGCCGTCGCTCCAAAGGAACAGCGCCTAAGGATCCAAGCCAAAGTTAACTGTTTACTTCATGACTCAGCAATGAAGTCTGAACTGGCCTTAGCAGGAGCGACCAGATCCCCTTTCTCAGATGCAAATGAGAAATAACTCTGGCAGGAGAGCACCAAACCGAAAAGTTGTTTTATTGGTACCATACATGACCATAAATGGCACAAACTATGCAAAAAAAAAAAAAAAAGGCTTTACAGTGCCCCGGGGGGGGGGTGGGGTAGGTGGGAAGAGCAAAGGTGGGGGAGAGGGGATGGAGTACACGTCACCAATTCATGCCCAGCCACAGCAATGGGGGACGTGACGCTCATATCTTTAGGTACAAAAAAGATACAGAAAACATCCTGTAAATTATAGTACTGACTATTGTACTGCCTGCTCCCAGGGAAGGAGCAGGATGGAGTGTCCAGGCCCAGTAACATAAAAGTGACCAGCCCCCCCCACCCCCCCGAACTTATTTCATGTTGATCCAGCTGGGCTCCTCCAGGGGAGAGAAGAATTTCTGGGATTCCAGGACATGATTCAGAGGGAGAGCTCTGCCCCAGTGGTGAACAGACCACTCTGAGATAATGGGCCAAAACAGCAGCTCTAGGGCAAAAGGATGGCAGTAATCCTGCTAAGGAGAACACCCTTGCATCGCCCTTGGGTCAGCTTGGAGAAATAGCCTCAATAAGGCAAAGGGGGGCTTGCCATGACACTCTGGACCGTGTCCCGTAAACGCCACCAGACTCACAACCAGCCTATGTCATGAGGTGACCAAAACACCTCACACTATCCTGTACGCCATTATCAAAATGTGGAAAAAGGGGCCCCACGTGTGATTTCTTCGAGGCCTCTGTGACATAAGGGAATCCTCTTTCCAGGGCACATAGGACAAAACTGGGAGCACAAAATGCAGGTGAAAGAGCATCAACGAAATCCAAACGTTGGAGAGCATGGGGATGGGGACCAGGATCCCCAGACGATACTTCCTACGGGACCCTGTTGTTAGCCCTGTTCCTCGATTTGTCCCACTGCTGTAAAACTGGTGACAGTACTCTCTGAATGCTCCTGCCTTCTGAGAGGGATGCCCATCAGAATGAACTCCCCCAACCACTGATGGGGGTGGCTGCATTAGTGAGAACACAGTGAAAAACAGTATCATACACACGGCCTACAGCGCGGAAATATACAAGCACAAGGTACACAAACCCGAAAGGGGGGGGTGGTAGAGAAGGGGGGGAGCAGGGACAGCAGCACACACGAGTTACACAGAGGGGGCAAGTGGGGCAGCCATGCTGTCCTCAAAGGGTGTATAAAGGAAGTCTGCAAAGTCTCTCCTTGGTTTGAAGCTCTCAGAACTGTATATAAAAACCAAGACTCCCGGATTGGTAGACAAGCCTGTACAAAAATCAGGATTGGGGGAAAATAGGGAGGGAGGGCAGATTTGCTGTTTTTTTCCCTCTCCTTTTTTTAACTTACAATTTTAATAATAATATTTTTTTAAAAAAACAAAAACAAAAACCAAGTACTGGGAGGGGGTCAAGATAGCGGTTTTCTGCAGGAGTCGGCTGGGCAGCAGGCTGGTCCTACAACCCAAAGATCAGACTAGAAGGGACATCTGCCCATCCCATATGACTGCAGGGCAGTTTTCTAATCACATTCCAGGAGGTGTTAAACCCCCAACTCCACCTGCTCCCACACTGGTTTTCTGAGTTCTTCAGGCAGAACAGAAATACTTGCCCTGTCACACCTACAGCTGCCAGCAGGGACTGAGACCTGTCCCACAAAATCTTAGCTGCCCCCACTGGGAGTAATAGAGTCGTCAGCACATTGTTGGCAGACTCTCTTGCTGGAAGGGAGCCCCCTTGAGGTTGAATATGGAACAGGAAAAATAAAACGTGCTCAGGTAGACATTCTGTCAAACCAGCTTAAGCACTTGGCCGATCTCTTGCCAAATCAGGCAAGGTGATCAGGTGCTGGGGAGCTGCATATGCACTGAACATGGAACCCCATCCCACATGAGAGTAGTTTGTGGCATCAAGGGCTCTGAGTGTGTGGGGCAAGGGGGGGGGGAGAGGGGATTAAAATTCTGCTGGAGCTAGAGTGAGATCAAAGCTCCATCAGGTCTCAGTGCCCCAAGTCTGCCCCCAAGGGGCACAGCGAAGAGTGCAGACAGCAGGGAGTGGTGGTCAGGCAGACTGGAGGCAGGTAGGTGGGCAGACTGCAGTGCCCATCGGCCCTGCTACCTTGCCAGCCAGCCAGCCACTCTTCTTCACAAATGTCCAGGTAGAACGGTTTCAACTCAGTCCGTGGGGATACCAGCCAAGTCATGGCCAGGCCAGGCTGGGCAGTGGGTGGGGGCTTTACTGCGATGCTTGCGACGTAGGATTTTCAGACTTGCTCTCCTGACTGGAGGGGGGCTTGCTGTTCCAGGGACTATTGGCGCCCAATGCAGGAGAGTTGTTGAAGCTGTCCTCATCATCAATGCCATTGGCAGCGTCGAACTGTGTGTTCTCCAGCCGTGTGATAAGGCGCTCATCCTCGTCGCCAAACTCTCCGCCCATCAAGGTTGGCTCGCCCACCACCATCACATCCTGAGGAGGGAAGAGGGTCCCGAAACATAATCGAGGTGGAGACTGCCCTGACCCACAGCACAATGCTTGAAGGAGCCAGCTCCCACAAATGAGGATACCCTCTCGTATGGGATATGGAAGTCTCTCCTTCCCCCTTTCACTTGCTGTATCCTCTAGACTCCTCTTGTTCCCCAACTTGCCTTATCCCCTATTTGCAACACTGCTGCTTTGGGTGTTCAGTCTTGATCACTACACTAAAGCTTCCCACAGCCACTTGACATGTCTAAGGATACACTAGAAAAATAGATGGATATGGCCTCCCACCTCATTTCTAATTCAACTCAAGGAAGGAGAAGTCTAATGCCTCAGAACTTACTGTTGCCTCAGGGATCACCTAGAAATAGGGCTAAGTTAGTTGGTATAGCACTCAAGCAGACTTCTGTACATCTATAACACCAAAGCTAGAGAACAATCTTCCTGGTCACAGAAGCTGTGGCTCCAGAACTAAGCAGCACCAAAATAATGGCTGTTGGAATAAACTGAGCTCCCTGACCTCTGGTTAATGCTACAGGAAGCATTAGCCAGCATTTCCCTTGGGTTCTCCAGCTGCAGGGAACAGGCCCCCATGCAGACAAGACTTCTCAGGCAAAGAAGAAGAGAGAATGAAAAGGGGATGCTTACAGGTACCTGACTGGAGAGAGCAAAGGTGCTGGCTGGGCTCTTCTTCTTGCTGTTGCTGTTATTTGTGTTGCCACCACCAGAACTCATGGTGCTGCCCCCTGACATCTTCCTTTTCCGGCGTTTGCTGGGCTGCTGCCGTGCAGGCTCAGCTGGGAAGGAGTTAGAAAAGGGAATGTTGGTGAGACAGCTAGACCCCAGTAGAGGAACATTCTTCTGTAATCATCTCAATATATGCCTATTAGAACTTAAAAGACCCCAGACACTGTACATCCATGATGTTTTACTGCTACACTTGATGACAACCAGTCCTGACTTCCAAAACAAATGCAAGTTCTTGCTCACCAGTAGAAAGTCAAATCATTAAACATTTGGGTTCAGTTCCAGGTCTGGTTCAACAGTATTTTTTTAACTCTCCAGTACAATCCCAGCTCAGACACTAACTTTCAGAAGAAATTTAATCAGATGCTTTGAACTTGTCTAGATAGATTTTATGAATATCACCACACTGATGGCTTTCATTTCTGGAAAATGGACAGGAAATGGAACTCAGTTTGAAAAGGAGGAGGGGTAGATTATGTTTAGCAGTTTTAAACTGATTATTAATCACTTTTTAACCTCCCTAGGTAGCTCAGCCAACTCAGTAGTAAAGCATCTGCCTAGCATGCCAAAAGTCCCAAGTTCAATCCCTGGCATCTCCGGTTAAAAAGATCTGCTGGCAAGTGATGTGAAAGACCTCCACCTAAGACCCTCAAAAGCTGCTACCAGTCTGAATAGACAATACTGACCTTGATGGACCAATGGTCTAACTCAGCATAAGGCAACCAGGGCCAGCTCTAGGCGTTTTTGTGCCCTAGGCAGGGCTACCTTCTGACATCCCCCACGCCCGTGCGTCCACCAATTATGGGGGTTGCCAACCTCCAGGCGGGGCCTGGAGAGAAGGATCCCAATGAGTCCCCGCCCCCCTCCGCCGCCACATAAATCAGTTTGCTCTGGAGCCGTCCCTTCCTGAGCAGAGACAAAAATGTGTGAGCTGGAGGCTAAAAAACTGTGAGCCAGCGCACACTCACTCAGCTTAGAGGGAACACTGCTTCCAGCGGAGCTGCAGAAAAGCACACACATAAGCCACAGTCTTTGCAAACGGGGGGGGGGGGCAGACAGAGAGAGGAGGGGGGGGTCTGTCCTTTCCAGTCAGCTTGGAAATTCGCGCGCCCCGCAGGAAGAACAAAATGTCTCAACCCCTGATCGTATGGGTTATCTCTCCGGCCTTCCCCACCCCCACCAAATGTCTTCTAGAGAAGGGGGGGTGGAAAGGGGGAGAGGGATTTCTGCTTGTGCGAGTCCAGGAGCACCTTCAAGACTAACAACATTGGTGGCCGGGTGCGAGCTTCCGGGAGTCACTGCTCACTTCTTCAGATACCTGGAACCAACGCTCCCTCTGAGCTGTGGAGTGTTGTGAGCAAAAATGCTACCTTGTGAGCTACCAGCGTTAAAGTTCCTTCCCTCCTGTCCCGCTTACCTTGGCCTTCCCCGAGGTGCCCCTCCCTGTCTGAGAAGTGGCAGCCCAGCAGGCAGGAGGCACTTGGGAAGGTAGGTTCGAGGGAGCCCCTGAAGTGGGCAGGTGAGGGGCGAGCGCGCAGCCGGGGCTGGCGTGTGGCAGCAGCAGCCTCTGCACCTACGCAGACCGGTTGTGGGCGCGTCAGGCCAGGGAGTGGGCGCGTCAGGCCAGGGAGTGGGCGTGTCAGGCCAGGGAGTGGGCGCGTCAGGCCAGGCCAAGCCCCCATTGGAAGACAAGCCGCCTGAGCCCACTCCAGCCCCAGTGAGTGGCTGCCACCGGTCAGAGGGGAGCCCACCACCAGACGGATGCGCAGGGCGCCTCGGGCGGTGCTTTTGGAGGAAAAGGCACAGTTTTGGGTGGGCGGCGCCAAACTGCACCCAGCCCCGCCTCCGCCAAAAGCCTTGCATCTCCATGCCCGCCGCCGCCTCTTTCTCCCCGAGTCCGGCAAGCTCAGCGCTTTCCGGACTCGGGGAGAAAGAGGTGGCGGCGGCCAGGGAGATGCAGGGCTTTTGGTGGGGGGTCCGGGTCCAGTTTGGCGCCCCAAGGGCCGGCTCGCACTCTAGGCAAATGCCTAGTTCACCTAGCGGGTGAGCCGGCCCTGAAGGCAACTTCATGTGTCCTCTAGAAAAGGAGACTTTCCTCCCAAGACAGAATAACTGCATATTTCTTTATATTATCATCATCACCATCATCATCATTATCCTCATTGTCATTATTATATGCAAACGTTGTTCACAATTGCCTGATGCAAAAGTTAGTTATATCAAAACTATATGCAGTATCAACATACTGCCTCACTTCCTCTTATTCCCTAGGCACTGGTTTTTATTAACATTACTTTGCCAATGTTGCATAGAGTAAGAAGAGGGGAAAAAGCTAGCTTCTGCACCATGGACCTGTAAATCTAAAAGAAGAAACCAACTTATAATAAGCAATATCCATTTTAGGAGGAAAGTCTTCCTTTAGATAGTGCCAGAGGTGAAAACTAAGCTTTAGACCTAGCCACCCACAGAGGCATTGGGCAAAATAACAAAGTGATTATTTTATTAATCAGCTTAAAACAGCTAAGCATCATCTTACCCCACCTTTCAAAATGAGCTCCCTTTCCTCCTCTTCTCATAGCCTGCCCTCCTTGTTAACTATCAGCTCCCCTATCCCCAGCTCCTTAGGGCTCAATCTTTTCTTCCAAGAAGCTCCACTAATTTAGCCAAAAAAAAAAAGAGGCTTATGCAGTTTAGAATGGTAGCAGGAGAGTGCTGCCAGAGAAACACAGAGAAACTTCTAGCCTCAGTTCAGCTTGTAGGTGGCCAAGCTTTTATCTGAGTAGCAGGAGTCATCTCACCTGCTGCTCCTCCTCCTCCTCTTCTAAGATGGTTCAAGGAGAAATCTAATTTCTCCAAAAATCACTGGAACACAGAGTAGCTCATACCACCCCTAAAAAGAATCTCCTGAGGACCTCACTATTGAACCATTCATTTTGAACTGGTTACCCTTTTCATGTTTCCAGTAAAGATTCAAAACAACTGAGAGATTTTAGATCAAGATGGGTAGCCCTATTAGTCTGTAGCAGTTGAAAAGAGCAAGAGTCCAGTAGCAACTTAAAGACTAACAAAATTTGTGGCAGGATATGAGCTTTTGTGAGTCACTGCTCACAAGTTTAAGGCTCATACCCTGCCACAAATTTCTCTTTTCTATTGAGATTTTATGTTTGGTTTAAATTCCAGTTCACTGCAAAAAAAAACACCCAACCCTCTCTGAACAGGTTTTTGGGTTTCAGCTTCCACTTTGGTTCCATATCTTGGTCGCCAGTGTTTCATTTTCTTATCCCACACTGTACACCCAAGAGCCAGACTAAGAGGCAAGAATTCTGGCCCCTACAGCCAAGCTGCATTCTTCCAAACACCTGTGAAGTTGGTAGGTTCCACTAGGAGTTGCAACCTGCACAGGGATACTGTCCATAGTACCCTCTGGTGGTCTTGATAGAAAAGGCATGTGGCTTAGTAATCCAGCCTCACAGAGCTGTCTGTCCTAACACCCAGCCCCTCCTTGCAAGATTCTCACCAGGTGGTGCCACCATACGCTGCCACTTCTGGAAGAGGCATGTCTTGAGGCAGTCTCGGGGGCTGAGGCTGTAGGTCTTGTGCCGCGACATCAACTCCTGCATTGGTTCTAGGATTACACAAAGCTGGCAGGGAGAAAAAGGGAAGAGAGCACAGTTTGGTGCTGCCCTGAGCAGTGAAAACTAAGAGGCTAGCAGCCTCCTGGAGCCAGAATATGCCCCAGTGGGCAATGGAATGACAGAAAGACAAAGATACCCTGCCACACTGTGCCATCTTCTAAGGGCTCATGCCTATTGTGGTGCTCTTTTCACACCTACCTTCAGTCATGCCCTTTTTTAGTTGGACAGACAGGATTGCATGAATTTCTAGCCATGAGCTGCAAGGCTATACATAGAATTCTCAGGCCAGTTCTCAGTACAATGGGCATAGCATTCTGTTTTAATAAATACAAAATATAATTCCAAAAACAATTTACACCCATCGTAAAACAGGAAAACGCCATACTATTATTCCCAAATACTGTCCCTAAAAGGTGGTTTCTTTCTTTCTTTTTGTTTGTTTCTGAAAACTGAAAAGAGAAGGGATCCAGTTACTTCATTCCACTGGCACTCTGGAAAAGGACTTACTCGGAGGTAGTTGAGTGTGGAGTTTGAAAGTCCACAACGGGTGATGTTCTTGGACAACTGGTCCAGCATCTGGGGGTCTTGTGCCTAGTTGGGGGAGGGGGGAAGAAGGAGTCAAACAAGAATAGGGGACTTCATTAAATACTTTCTATTTCCAAACACTGGAACCTTCACTATTTATAAATGTTCCGGTAAAGGGGTAAACAGGTTGTTTGCAAGGTTCCATGGCTGCACAGAGCTTACTCTGGGAACGTCCTAGGACTGTAATCCTCCAACTGTTGCTCCTAGGTCTCCCCTTGACAGAGTATTTTTTGTTTTGTTTACTATTTGTGCCTTTCAACTCAATTCCTTCTCATTCTGACAAAATATCCAGACTAATAAGCAAGCGACACACACACACAGTAAGGAATGAGAGTGGGTTTGACCACGGATGATCATCTGTTACAGGCCAGCAAAATGTTTGTTTGTTTTTCTTGGTGGTTTCAATGCAGTCCCATATAGAAGTGAGTGGTTTGCTGGAAAAGGTGCTAGTGAAAAGCAAACTGCAAAGAGCTACTCTGACAAAGGTGGCATGACAAAGGTGGAATACTGTACAGTAAAACATGGAAGATGTGGACCAAGAGGCTGCTCTATGTAACTCAGTAACAGAAACACGTGGGGAAGGTAGCCACTATGACAGATACTCAAGAAATGCAGAGGACAGAGAAAAAAGCCCGTGAAAAATCAAATATGTTGTCAAACTAAACTAAAAATTAGTAAGGAAGTAGGGGGGGAAAGTGCTCCCCAAGGAAAACATGATAGCTACGGCTCAGAGAAAGTTCACTGAGAAAACTGAGCTGTTGTTGTTGCAGTGGTCAGAAGGTAACTGAGGCAGGAATGTGCTTTCATTCCAGGCATGTGCAGAGTCCCAGATTCCTGCTCAGGGATAGGGGCAGGAGTGCAAGCTGGAGCCCTAGAATGTTCCTGCAGTTGGCCATGCAAGTGCCCAACTTGCATGTGGGACTGCAGAGACCCCAAAGTAGAACCGAAATTCCCATCAATGCTTTGCAAAATGCATATCTGATGTCAATTTGAACAAAAGCCTCAAGTGTTGTATCCAAGCCAAGGTCAACAATTTGGAAACTTGTAATTCTACATTTGCTTCTGTCTTTCTGTGACAGGTGCTGGCCCCAAGATCCTGGTCACAAGAAGCAACAGCATAAGGAAAGCAAACAACAGAAAGTTTCTCAGATTCCAGAGACAATCTGACAAAATAGCTTCAAGCAAATCAAGCCAATGGCCAGACCAAAGTACTGGACTCACATGCATGGCAAGGATGCTGCGGGGAATGAGCTCTCGGTGCTGCCGGATGCTGAAGTGCCACGTCTTTATCCTCATCATGTCATCAAACATAAACTCCAGGTAAAGGCGACCCTCCACACACACCTGTACAAGAGAAAAGCAAATAAATAGCCCTGAAGTTCAGGTGAGCAAGTTACACCCAGCCTGGCCTCAAAGCTAGTTACTTCCTCCACCCTTTTCTTTCTGACAGAAGCCTTTGGGGGGGCACCATAAGGAACAAAGGCTAATTGGGAACCAGGAGAAGGGGAAACCCTCTTTCTCACTTCTTTGCTGTGTGAACATGGGCTTGCCATGCTGGGTGACCATAGTACACTGGTCACAGTCAAGCGAGACAAAGTTATTGTGGAAGGACTCCTTGGGGTGTTTCAGGACATAATACAGCTCAGTAGCACCCCCTTCGAAGATACTGCGGAAGTAGCGAGGAATCAGGGTGCGGCCAATCGCTGAACACAGAGATGACAGAGAAGACAAAAAAATCAATTGCTTTTCAGCCTTTGCACTGCAGACTCAGGATTCCCACTGGCTCAATGTTTCTATACTGAGGAAAAGGAGTGTGCAGTGGAACTGCTGGTGAAGTAAACAAAATGTTACATTGTGAGTTAACGAATGAAGGATCCACACAAAGTACAGCAACGAGAGACAGTGTCTCCCTTAACATGTAGTGACCTCAGGATGAAGAGCAGCTGAAAATCTAAAAATATGGCATTTCCCCCTATTCCATGTCGTTCTTAAGACTTCCTAGTCTGTCTTGGTACAATCAGGATGATGAGTCAAGGTAGATCAAAGGGGGAAAGGACAACTTCCTATAACCTGACAAGAAGCCGAGAGACAGCAAGCCAAGAGATTTGGCTTCGAGCTCTCAGTGAAGGCATTGCTATGGTACATGCCACACACTGACTATTTGGCCATCAAGGACTTGAACAGTTATTTGGACATCTACTTAGACAATGGCAATCCAGCTCATCTCTCTTCACAGAAGCATCCGGTTGTTCTCAGATACAATGCACATTCATATCTTGAAACGTTATGCCTGTTTTCCAGAGTACTATGCATTCAGGGAGGGGGATGGATGGATAGATGGATGGTATGTACACAAATGACGACCCTCCTGGCCCCTGAGACTTTCCTGCTCCTTTATGAAACAGATACTCCTTGGAAGAAGGCTTCACAAATTTCAAATAATTATTTTGCTGGGCTAAAAGATTACCATATCTGATTGTGCCTTGAAAACATACATTTGTGTTTTCATTCAGGTTGGCGAGTACCCAAAGGAAAATGTAATCACATACAAAAGCTCCCTTGGGAGGTCATATGGAAGCATCAGAAATCCTCTGTCCAGAAAACTGGAAATACAATCTGAACCAGTCATCTATGACAGTTACTGGTGGGCAGGCTTTGGACCAAGTTACTTAAGAAGACAGGTACCAGATTTTGGAATGAGGATGAAGTAAAGTAAATTGAGCATTTATTTAATCTTAAGGGGGGGATGGGACATGTGTTTTTCTGGGAATCTAAATGCTTCTGTATCTAAGCAGTAATGGAGACATTTCCAAAAACCTGGGGTGTACCCAGGAAGTCTTGTGCTCCACAATGGGAACTTGATGGCCATTTAGACTGGCAAACAGCAGTGGAGTAGACCATCCTAAGCAAAAACATAGATAATAAATGTTGGCTGGGAGGCCCTGTGCTGCTGTGGGAGATAAAATTGTATATTTTACAGCATAGCAGCAGTACAAATTATTTTATCTGTAATCAATAGCCTCGATGTCCAAAAATCATAGACTGTTGTGTTCTCCTCTCTTAATGATGGCTATGTAGAGTTTACTGAATCAATACCAAACATATACCATATCCCAAGCCTGTACTGAAAATAGGGACCACTTATTGGGGGAATGGTCTAGGAGCCACTCCAGGTTACAGAATATTTTGAAGCATAACCTCAATTTATACCCCTTCCAAACATCTCCCTACATATACTGTATCCTGAATCTAAGATGATGGTACATATTGCCCCCACACAGGACCCACCATAGCCCTGGGACTCACTGTATCTCTTTGGTCCATCTTCCAGACAGAAAGTGATTGTTAACATGGCATCATCTTCAAAAAACTCAGTGGTGAAGGCATCCCACCACAGATTGTCACATTCCTGCAGACACAGAGGAGCAGAACAGTATATACAGGGATGGAGGGGCAAGCTAGCATCCACCCCCACTACTAAAGATGTGACGAGGGAACCTGGGCCCCAGGCTTAAGGAACTCAGGTTGATACCCCCTTCTCCCCCTCCCTCCATTTCCTATGAGGCTATCAGTAGCTCTCATTCCTTTGAAATCATGGAACCTGTGCCCTCAGGTTTCCCCAACACATCTTCCTGATTTAATTCCCCTCAGCTGGAACGTCATACCTCTGTCCAGTTCTGCAGCCGCTTATTGAGCTCAAATATCCTGTAGTCAGTCTGGTTGCCATATGGTGTGTGCCTCCTGTTAATCAACCACAACAGTTAAAGAGGGGAAGGAATCAGACTTCCTACCTGGGTGAGAGGGAAGAGTCATTTATCCTGACGTAAGTGTGCAGCACACACATTACCATTCTGTTATTCACATTTCACAGATAGGGAATGGGACACCAAATGCCCTCTAACAAGCTAATGCCTGAGTAGGGACATAAATCCAGATTTCCCCCACATCTATGTCCAATACTCTAGCTGCTGGATCACATGGATTTTCTAGGAGGAGGGAGGGGAACAGAAGAGTGATTATTGTAGCTTATAAAGCTTGCAGCAGCTAGTTTTGGTACAATGCATTACAAAGAGATCAGGAGCACAATGCTGACCGCAGAAGACTGGTGGTCCTACTTTTCACAGACATTTTCAAACTCAAACGAGTTGTCAAATTCACACACAAACATGCTGACCTGCTCTTGGTTTTGAACATTATCCCACTTCACTCCCACACATCTCCAGCACACACATACTGGAGTTCTGACTCCACTCAGGTGGAAAATTCTGTACATATTCACAAATGTGCACGTAGGGAATGTGGCAGGCATCCTTCACGTTGTGGAAGCAGCTTGAACAAATATTTCCCAAAGCATTTGTTTCCAGGATAGCAAATGTATCTTCAAACCATTTCACAGCACACTTAAAATGTTAGGTCTGTCTTTACTTTTTTGCTAAATTCAGTTCCCCAGAACAAAGAGCAACACAGATTCTTACCCAATTCCAGGCTCCAGGTACGTTGGTGGATACATAGGAGTCGGTCTGTGGAGAAATAAGGCAGCACATGAGTGATTAATAAAAGCTCCTGACTACCCCAAACCATTTCATTATACTCCAGAGGCTAAACTGGATAGGTAACACTGGAAAATAACAGGGGACTGCTTTGTGCTGCCTCAGCATCATTTATCGCCCTCCTCTGCTTCACATTATGCTTTCAGTTCCTTCTTGCTTTTAAACTTCTCCACCTGATGGGTTCTATATTTTAGCTTCATCCCCCTTCCTTGCATTCTTGGTATATCTCTTCGTAACCTGCTTGTAAAACCTTCTCTCATGTGTTATTTCTTGGTCATGTCCTGCTGCTTATACTCTATATAAAATGTACTTGGAAACTTATTCCTCTCAGTATTCATTTGCATTCTAGCCTTTAAAAATCTATCCTTTGTCCTCTTGGATCTGTAATTTTTTTCTCCATTTTTTCTTTCCTTGCTAGTACTGAATATGACTTAAAAAACCCAAACTACTACTATACTTTGTTTTCTTATTTATCTCCTGTATTTCCATCTTCTCTCAATTTAAATGCATTGTACCTTTTAGAGACAGGGCTCTTGATCTGAGTTTTTATATTGTGATTACTTTGTTTTAGGTTCTCTTAGAGATAGTAAATGGTGGTGCTAATGGCCATTCCTGACTAGGACATCCTAGATTTTGCATACCACTCCAAAGACAGCCAGCAGTTCAAAAGCAAGAAATTGCAAGTAGATAAATAGGTACCGCTTCAGTGGGAAGGTAACAGCATTCCGTGCACCTCGGCGTCTAGTCATGCCGGCCACATGACCATGGAAACATCTTCGGACAGCGCTGGCTCTTCGGTTTTGTAAACGGAGATGAGCACCGCATCCCTAGAGTCGGATTCGACTGGCTTTTGAGCAAGGGAAACCTTTACCTTTACTACCAAAGACAGCCACTTTCCCAACTCCTGGCCCTTCCTTCTCCCCAGCAGTCCTCCTTTCTCTTCCTCCATTGCATTCATGCTGAATGATCACAAAGACTTGGGCAGTTACTACCAGAATTTTGTCTGCTTGTCATCCAGCACAGAATGGCAGAGATTTCTCCCCAGTCTTGTTGGTAACTTAACAACCTCCCCTTTTGACTGTTCAAGAGGCCCAGCATTTATGGTGGTGGAGTTGTGACAGAGTAAAAAAAAAATTGGATAATGATCCAGGCGATTATACAAGAAATAACAGAACTAAATGTACCTTTTAAACCAGAATTATTTTTATTAAATATAATGCCAGATATGTATAAAAAATCAGATAAACACTTGATTGTACATATAGTAACTACGGCTAGGATTTTATTTGCCAAAAATTGGAAATCAGAGAAAATCCCATCAAGGGAATCATTTGTACAGAAATTATTTGAAATAGCCGAAATGGATAAACTAACAATATTATTACAAGGGAAGGGCAAAGAAACGCTTCAGCATTTTGTGCTTGTATATTTGGAAAATTATAAAAAACTTAATAATAAAAAAGAGAGGCCCGGCATCTATGCTATCATTACAATTCCCCAGAACTAGGTTCCAAAGTTCCCGCAGGAAAGGGGGTTGACCTTCAACCCTCATAGCAGCACTAAACATCACAGAGTGTCATGTATGGATGTGTTTCATATCAGCCTGTCATATTACAATATAGAAGCTGACCTGTTGCCAAGATTACTTGATCTGACATAACTGGCAGCTGACTTAAGTCAGTGAACACCAGCTACTTGACAGGAATAAAGGAACTGGAAGTTGGAGTCAGTGGGGCTGGAAGTATTGGCAAGGGTGCCTCAGGTAAATAGGTATTGTATACTTTGTGTGGTCTACAAGAGGCAGTTACTGTGTATTTTATGACCCATGAAGTAAACCACAATGTCACTTGAAAAACTGACATTTATAATGTTTAGAGTCTCCATCTCTGACGCAGAGACGTCTGTATATCTGATCATCCACAATGAGAATACAATCTATTTACGCAATATTGGAAGAACGCACAGGGATACATGGCCTTGCGGTTTAGGGTATGGTCCTGTGTCAAGCAGTCCTAGAACCTAGACCACAAGGCCATGCACTCCTACACATTTTCCCAGTACTATGTAAACAGCTTGTACTCTCACTAATGACCAAACAAATTAACTGCCATGGAAAACACTGCCACTTGCACAGTTACCAAAACCCAGTTACTATGGATCCATGACTGATGGCTTTAGACCATTCATTCCTAATCTGCACATGTGAGAATCACTATTCTGAGCTTGCCTCTTCCTTAATACCATTTTTACCCTGCTGTCTCTCCAAGGAGCTCAGGGCAGCATACATGGTTTCTCCCTCTGCCATTCTATCCTACAAAGTCTGTGAGATGGGCCAGCTACTAAGGCTCAACCAGTGAGTTCCATCACTGAGTGAGGATCTGAACCTGGCTCTCCCCCATTCTACTCCAACAGCCTAACTACTACACTAAGCTGGTTCTCAGTAGCAATCAAGAGTCACTAATGCAGAAAGAATGGAGGGAGATCCTCTGAATCTCTTTCAGATACAAGGGCTTAGCATTCCTCCAATTTTAATTCAGAAAAATTATGCTGCGTTTTCAGAAGTGTGGGAAACTCTAGACTGAGGTCTGAATAAACAAGGACTGAAACCATGTTTGTGTTTGGCTTACTGCCTCAATGAATGTTTGGAGGGGGAGAGGTGGTCATCACCATTTTGTTCCACAGACTGCAGTAATCAACATGCCCCACGAAATACCCCACATTAAGCTCCATTTACTTAGTCTTTCCTGATTTCAAGGGCAGAGTCTTCATGTTGGTTTTGGGCTGCAAAGAGCCTAGGCAGAGGTGAACAGAGGTGACAAGCTTGGAATTTGGCCGGCGTTGTTTGAGATTACACCCGTCCTGAACCAAAGAGCCTCTCACTTACCCCACATCTCGATCCAGCATAGTGCCCGGGTGGAAGGGGGGGAAGGCGTTGCCGTTTGGGGGCTCCTTTGGAGAGTACAGCTTGAATGACTTAGAGGAACAGCCTGACAAAAAAGAGAAAGAAAAGTAAGACATAAATCAGCAAAGGTCACTCTGCCAGGAGCAGGCCAGACACAAGGACAACACAGGCATAATGTGCTATGAATGCTACAGCCCTGCAAGCATGCAACCCAGTACTGACCCAACGTATCCCACTAGAGAGGCTCCAAATGCTTAACTGATCACTCAGCCTTGCTATTTGCCTGGGGCAAAGAGAGCTAACTGGCAAGCTGAACTGGTCATGTTCCCGCTGTTGCCATAGTGCTGTGCTTCTTTTCCCAGGCCAGGAGGCAAAAGCACTATAGCGTCTATACTTCTGGGTCAGTCTTCCAACCTTAAAGGGCTGTTAGGAGACAGATAGCACCATGACAAGAGACGCTATAATTGTCCCACAATAGAGGTACAGTGAGAAGCTATGGCCCCAGCATGCCATAAATTTGAGGAGGGATATGGAAGGAAGAGATGGACAGCATTGGCCATATTCGGCAATGGAACTAAAATGCTACATTTATCAATGCTGTGTTTTCTCTTTCTTTTTCTTTCTCCTTTGGGTAGGTGCCAAGACCAGCTACTGCTATAGTTCTGGACTGTGTTCTCTAATCAGAAAACAGTGCTCTGGCAGCCAAGGGGAAGCATCAAGCTAGGCTAGTGAAATATGGGGTAGGTGACCACTCTAAAAACTGATTTACCAGGCCAGCTTCCAGCATCAAGATGAAAAGTCAATCATGGGCCATGTTCAGAACAAGAAACATAAGAAGTCAGCTGCATCACAGAGACTAACAAATTTACTGTGTCATAAGTTTCCACAGATCACTGTCCACTTCACCAGATTCTTAAACTGTTAACAAAAGTAGGTAGGTATGCACATCCCAGGAACAATGATTTTTAACAAAAGGTCAGGCAGTGTGTGAGTAACAGCACTATACAAAAACACAAATTAATACCAGATCCATTCAGCATAGGAGTGACCCAATTCTAATTAATAGTTATAGGTGATGACTAGGTTTAGCAAGATCTACTGAAATGGACAATTACTTTCTATAAAGAGTCAGTCACTGAAACATTTACTGTGTGTCAGTGCAGTGTGGAGTGGTGTGATGGAAATATTCATTGAATCAGGGTTGGTGGATAATTCTCCAGGTCACCACAGAACTGTGTGTGGATATGGTAGGGCAAAAGAACAGTCCCCAAGACAGGACAGTCTTCTGACTGGTTCTCTTTGTGAATGAATTAACAATAATCTACTGGGTGAGTTAAGGATGTCACTGCTGGGGGGCCCATTAAAGCATGCAGACATTTTGATAGCTCGGTATCCTCCTTTACCTACAAAGAACTGAAGTGCCATTGTTTGCCTTAATTTTAAATAAGTCCTACAAGGTGCAAACTTGTGTGGGAAACTGGCTCTTTAATGCCAAGCTCTGAGAATTCATTCTGTTTCCTGTAAAGGATGCCAATCAGATGGTTCTGTAGTTTCTTCAAGAGAAGAGCAACCATGCAGATGTGTGCATCACAGTATGACTAAGGCACAAGCGCTTCTTGAACCCCAAAGTGCAACATGCAGAACTTTAACGGGCATTTGTGGAAGTAGGTGTAGAAGGAAACACAATTTGCAGTGGAGGAAAAGACAACATACAGATTTGCTTAACAAAGTCACTCCAATGACCTTATACAGCTCAACCTGGTTAAACACCTTGGCTGTGGTCACACTGACAACTTGGCGTGATATGGTGTCACCTCTAAAAGTGTTGCGGGGCATATCATCCAGACAGCACACCCTGCTGCGGGTTACCCACACAGACATCCCATGGTCAAGCATCCACATTACTGCAGCGCCTCAGCCACGGAGCACACTGCCCGGAAATTTTTCAAAATGCATGCGCACGCATGTGACTGAAAATCCTTAAAGCCAGCAATATTGCATCCTTCTTGCCACAAAAGGCATGACTTTTGAAGGACATTGGAGAAAGCTCTTGTACAGGTCCTGTGCAGAGTAGGAGAGAAGGTTTTTATATCCCGCTTTTCTCTACCTTAAGTTGTCTCAAAATGGCTTACAATCGCCTTCCCTTCCTCTCCCCACAACAGGCACCTTGTGAGGTAGATGAGACTGAGAGAGCTCTGAGAGAATTGTGACTGGCCCAAGGTCACCCTGCTGGCTTCATGTGGTGGAGTGGAGAATCAAACCTGGATTAAACCTGCCGCTCTTAACTACCACACCATGCTGGTGTTGAATCCAGGGCTCTGGTTAATCTTCCCAGCTCCCCAAATAGAGAGGGGCTGTGACTCAACAGGTTTAGGATCAAGTGCAAAATGTGTAAGCAGTAAGGGAATTAAACACAAACACACTGCTTTAGCCATAGGTTCCCAGACTGCAACAGTGATGCTCAGTTAATAAAGCCTATCCTTGGCATGTTCACCTCCCAGCAGAAAGAACATCCCAACTTCAGCAATGAAAGTCATTTGTGCCAAATTATCACCCTCCCCACATAGTAATACGGTGCCAGATGATTTCTCACTAGTCTTTCTTCTAGCATCTGCCTCAAGGTAGCCTCTACCGTCTTCATTTTGGAAAAGAGAATTGTTCTCTGCCTGCTTCAATATCCACTGAGACAATGACATATTTCACACATGGTGTTTAAGGAATTTTAAGACTCTCTCCCACGTTTTGGTGGTAATACATGAAACAGAGATGCACTTTTAAGTATGTTTTATCAGATTTTGGATGACTGTGCAGCATGGTGGATAGACAACTGGATTTCAACCTTCCTGCAAACCAGCATGTACTATCTGAAGCGTATTTTTAGTCCCTCCAACCACCCCTTTCCCCACATAATTGTATACAACTGCAAATGGCATTTCATCCAAGTTTAGCTGCTAGACACTATGGTCCAGCATCCAGGGAGGGGGGGGGGCATAGTGACATTTAAAGCACAAAAAACATAACCTATGCATACTGGCAAAACGCTTTTAACTAAAGGGAGAGAAGGTTCCTAAGTGGTAATGGAAGCAATTTAAAATGCATATATTCTTCTACCCCGTGTCTCCAAAGCCAAGCAGCACATGTCACTAGAGGGCTCTATTTATATCTCAGTATCAGTATTGCTGATCAGAACTAGCTTGTTGCACGATATTTTATGGTTTTACTGTTTTAATTGTTATTGTAATTATTGTTTTAATGGTATCGTACTGAGACTGTTGTGAACCGCCCTGAACCTATCTGCAGGGAGAGCAGTACATCAATCAAACAAATAAATAGAAATAATATTTGCTGTTCCACTGATCTGCTGCCACAACACTACATCCTACTGACACACATACAGGTTTTTCTTCCCTTTGGCCCCCTCACCGACCCATCCTTTGTGACCCAGCTTCAACCCACTTTTTTCCTTCTCTTTGAGTCTACCTTCTATTCTCTCTTTCAAATCAGAAGAACAGAGCCAAAACTTGCCTCTGTTTCCTCACATGCAACTTCGACAGATATAGAAGCAACTCCTGCTATGCAGGAAAGACCAGTTCACCCCTGGCAGGTGCCATCCTGTCTGGGTAGTATGTGCTGCAGCACCTCACCTTCTCCACCCAAACAGAGAAAGTCTTTAGCCCTTAATTCAAGCCAGGAATGTTTAGCTAACAGTCTTGGGAATATTCTGATATCTCTCTAACAGGAAAGACAGGAGGCAGAGAGGGAGAGGGGGAGAGAGATCTATCCAGTTGAGCGGCAAACACCCCTATGAAGACTAGATCAAATGCCAGGAAAGCAGGAAATAGCATTTACCTCCAACTACACTGTGCCTTGGACAGAGGCTACAGTGTCTTGCAACACCGAACTGCAATGCCCCTCCCCAGTTACACACACACAGGATGGCCTGGTGATAACCAGCCTCAGTTTGTCTTCTCTGCCTCTCTCTGTGGAGTCTTTATTTCAGCAGACATAGGTGTAAGGCAAGCCAGCTACTCCTGTTGACCCTGACCATCTGGATGTAGAAAGACGCTCTGCACTGGCTAAGAAGGGCTGAACTAACATGTGTGCTTTGACAAGGTTTCTTTCCTTAGTGCTAACCAGATGGCAATTTTCATTTTGCATCTATTTAAGTAAGTTGACATGTGCAACATACACAATGATCAGGTTATCTTCTTTTCTGGAGATATAATCCAGACGTTGGGTTCTTACATTCTGTTCATGTGCAGTTTGACCCTAATGCCATCAATCTATAAATATTTGAAACAGGTACTTCCTGCAGCCAAAAAGGCGGGGCACCCAAGTGAATTTCCATCCCTTTAAATCGACTGTACCCTCCCCCAACCCCAGCAGACCCCCTCATTCCAATCACTCCCTCTGGGCTCACTCTCAAATGGACCTCAGCTCTTCTCACGCAGGAAAGGAGATCATGAGGGGACCCTCTCGGTGACCTTTCTGTTGCTGTGGTGATGGAAAAATCACCGAGGCAACCGCCCTGCTCCTCCCCTCCCAGCATCCCCTGACAGGCACCATCTGCTGCTGGGTGAGCAATGGAGTTTACCAGGCTGGCTTCAAACCCAGTCCAGTCCACCTTAATCAAGAGGGAGACTCAGCCTGGGCTTCTCCTAATCCAGGCCTGCTAACCCCAAAGGTGTGAGCTCCCTCACTCTGTAGTACTTGGACTGGCAGTCCTGAAGTATCCAAGACATCAGGAAGCCAAATGAATTTGCTCAGACTGCTTGGGTGCCCCTTCCAGTCAGTCCAGCAAGAAACACAGCAGCAAGCCATGGCAAAGGTGGCACCTCCATATGGCTACATCCAAATCTGTACAGAGGGAAGCCTTTAAAAAGAGGAATTGTAATGGGATGGCGAGTCCCTGTGGGTTACAAGTTCATATACAGGGAGAGGTTTTCTGGCAGCAAGAAGAAAAGGCTAGACTGAGATCACAGGATCAAGGTCCCACAGGAATGTCTAACACCTCTCGCACTCCAGTAGCTTAATTACACCTAAACCAACCCTGACAGAGATTCATGAGGCATTTTTTATAATACT